AAAAAATACCATACTGAAATAATAATGAATTTTAATTGTACATTTAATTAATAATATTAATGTTGAATATTAAAGTATTCATTAAAATTTACCAAACTATATTTATGTCTCATGATGTTTGAGTTTATGATGGCAGAATTTAATCTCAGATATATTGCATGGATTTCAGAGGAACGGACACCTGTCACACACTGAGTGTTAGATGGAGTGTGAATGCTGGTTTCACAAGCCTCCGTGCTAAAACACTTTTTTTAATTATTCCTCAGGCTTTCATTCGTCCATTACAGTACACACCGAGTACAGTGCCAGCACATGATCGCTCTCGTTCCAGCTGCAGTTATGTCTCTGACTGTAATGAGATCTGCTAGCATGCTGCGGATTACGTTCTGCTAAACATGTTAATGTCATGCATTACGCTGAGCTTGATGGTAGGGGTGGGCGGTTTGACAGAAATCCTCTTAATATCACAAGATATAGTCAGTTTTGCTGAAAATCAATGAAACAACAAAATAAAACCATGTAGTAATGCCTTTTATTTAAATAATCAAGTGAATAAAACACTTTACAAATGGAAGGTACTTCATTTATTTGATTATTGTTTTTACATTTGGACCATGAAACCATATTTGCATTATTTGCATCTTTTCCTTTCCTTTTCTGTGATAAACCCATCATATATATATATTAGGTAAAAAAAAAATATTGATATCTCGATATTAATCGATTCTCATTTTTACGGAACGATATCGATTCTTAAATCCCAAGAATCGATTAGTCTAGCCTGTTTTCAGTTTGTTTCAGGATCGTTGAAGGGCACCTCCCATCCAATAAATCGCAATAAACATTGTGCTTTGGTACTTTTAATATGAAACAAAGTCTCAGATTTCAAATTCTGTCCATTGTAACTTCAATGTTTAATTTATGTTTGAATAAATTCAATAAATTCAGAGTCAGAGTCAGTTTGTCTGTAAAAGCACCTGTCAAAAAAAGGATGATTTTATTTCTTTTTATTTTACTTTATTTAACAAAAAATATTAATAGTTTCATAAAATTGTTTATTAATATTACATTTCTTTTTACATTTTACAAAATGAATTCATTATTCTATGTGCCCCTATTTTGAAAGGCTGTCCCTGCCCACCTATATCTGTGTAAATAAATCGACCACAGTAAAAGCGGTGTAGCAAAATACCTCTTGATACATAACTACCAACACATGGTACAAACCATCCTACATGATGGGAATGAAGAGATATTTAGGCCCTGAAGCTTGTCACCATGTACCA